GCAACTAAGATGTATCAAGATTTAAAGAAAGGCTATTAGTGGCCAGGTATGAAGAAAGATATTGCAGAGTTTGTAGCTAAATGTCTGACTTGTCAGCAAGTGAAAGTAGAACACCATAGGCCATTAGGGTTGCTTCAGCCACTTAGTATTCTTGAATGGAAATGGGAGAGTATTTTGATGGATTTTATTATAGGTCTCCCTAGAGTGTAGAAAGGATATAATGCTATATGGGTGATAGTAGACAGATTAACTAAATCGGCCCATTTTCTTCCAATAAAGGAAAGTACCACTTCGGATCAATTGGCTCAGATGTATATTAAGGAGATAGTGAGACTTCATGGTGTACCCAAGATAATAGTATCAGACAGAGATTCCAGATTTGTCTTAGCTTTCTGGATGAGTTTGCAGAGGAACTTGGGTACCTGATTGCCTTTAGTACTGCCTATCATCCTTAGACAGATGGCTAGACAGAGAGAACAAATCAAGTGCTTGAGGACATGTTGAGAGCATGCTATAGGGATTATAAAGTATCCTGACATGAGATGTTACCCTTGGTGGAGTTTGCTTATAATAATAGCTACCAGTCTACGATTAAGATGGCACCTTATGAGGCTTTGTATGGTAGATGGTGTAGATCTCCACTGCATTGGGATGAGATGGGCGAGAGAGATGAGTTAAATATAGCTCTTGGGCCAGAAATGACTTAGAAAATGATAGAAGATGTAAAGTTGATCAGAAGCAGAATGAAACAAGCCGAAGACAGGCAGAAAAGTTATGCTGATTTGAAAAGAAAAGAAGTTAAGTTTGAAGTGGGTGACAAAGTTTTTCTAAAAGTTTCCCCCTACAAACGGGTGATGCGGTTTGGTAATAAAGGAAAGTTAGCATCGAGATTCATTAGTCCATTTGAGGTGTTACAACGAGTAGGAAAAGTGGCCAACAGATTAGCACTACCACCCAGTATGGATAAAGTTCACAATGTATTTCATGTCTCGATGCTTCGGAAGTATGTAAGTGATCTCTCCCATATTCTGAGCATAGAGGACGTAGAGTTGAAAGAGAATCTTGTGTATGAGGAGCATCCAGTGCAGATTTTGGACAAAAAAATTAAAGAGCTCCGGAACAAGAGTATCCCTTTAGTGAAAGTCCTTTGGAGAAATCATAAAGTTGATGAAGCTACATGGGAGATAGAGCAAGACATGCAGAACTGTAACGGTTAGCATGGTAGGCCCACTACTAACCGGCCACGGAACTACCTTCGTGGCAGGTATTGTCCCCCCCCTTAAGGGATTTCTTCGCCTCCCCCATGGCTCGAACCCATGCCCCGAACCCATGCCCAAGGGGCTATAGGCAAATGGGAAGCACCATGAGTACCATCAGGCCAGCTAGCCTAATGGTACTCATGGTGATGCTCATTTGCCTATAGCCCCTTGGGGAATGGGTTCAAGCAATGGGGAAGGCGAAAGAAATCTCCTTAAGGGGGGAGAGATATCCTGCCACGTGTAGGGAGCTGTGTGAACTCCGTGGCCGGACCCAGTAGCAGTAGTAGCTGTGGGCCGTTACATAAAAATGCGCCTTTTTATGTAACGGCCCACAGCCGCTACTGCTGCTGGGTCCGGCCACGGAGTTCACACAGCTCCCTACACGTGGCAGGATATCTCTCCCCCCCTTAAGGAGATTTCTTTCGCCTTCCCCANATTGGCATTACTGTCCACCGTTGCTAAGTTTTTGTACTTGTTATTTTGATATATGTAAAGAATTATATTTTGTATGTAAAGAAAAATTTGGGCCCAACTATTTTCATATGCTAATTATGTATGTTTTCATAGTATATGTTATAAAATATACTATTAGAAAGAAGTCATTACAAAGGATGGACCACCAACCCATAATAGTTTTCATGATCTTGTTGGATCCTATACAATTGGTCATTTGTCACATAAAAAGGAACTTGATCGCCATCTAATTGGCTAAAATTTCTCTGAATCTTGAGGTAAGGTATTGAGGCTGTCCTCATCCCAAATTGGATCAATTATATGTTCCACAAGAAACATATTAGAACTTTACCCTCTTGAATAAAATGGGTATAAATTTTGACATATCTAGAAGAAAAATTATAAGAAGGGTACTTATATAGATTGATCTCAATAGCGTATATATTTTTTGTTCTTAAAGAGTTATCTTTTGTCATAACTATGTTTACAAAAACATATTAAGGCAAAACCTTACGTTTTTTATAAGAAAGAGAAGTTTGTCAATTACTGTGCTATTCTACTTAACATGTAACATGTAACCCCAAGAACAAACCTCACTTCTTAAGGAACATTTCTCTGAACTCATTATTTGACTTCAGCTTCTCATCTTCCACTTCCGCAGCTTTTGGATTTGTCGAGGGGACACCAAGTGGTCTGAGTTCCTTGGCATTGCAAAAGTGTTTCTCCCCTTCAGTTGAATGCTATCACTACGTTTATTAGCAGAAAAGTGTGGCGCTCTAGACTCCCCAAAAATCTGATTACTACTTTGCACTGCCATTTAACCCAAAGAAGTAAGAAAATAAAAGGTAGAAGTGGGAAACACAAACATGCAAACGTCTATAGACTGCATTGCACACAAACAAACACACACAAGTAATATCAAAGATAAAACATAATTCCACTTAGCCTACCATGTTCTCGAGAGGCCCCATGACAAGCAGAATCCTTTCTCTTTTGCTTCGGATTTGATCTTGCAATGCTTATCCTCTTCCCAAGAATTTTTTTTTTTTTTTTGTTCTTTCCTATAGCTACAGCAAGATATGCATCATCGGCAAAATCCACATATGCGAGGCCCTTCAAAAATCGATCAAAGGATATTATAAATTAGTATGCAACGGTCCCATACAGATGCTCTACAGTTTAAAGGCAAGCTGGAATATGGGTAAATCTGTATGGGACTATGGTTGAGTCTCCTAAGCATATCACTTGCTACCAAAATGAAAAAATATGCTCTTAGATAGTTAGACTCTTTATACTTAGAAAATTAAGCAATTTTACCATAATTATGGAATTCAACGCTTTTGTAGGTTTATTTGAGACTGCATAATCGTCTTTGGAAAGAACATTCATCTTAAAACCAAAAGCGTAAGAACTAAATGATTTATTGACTGCAAGGAAGAAATCAAATTGAAGTTTCAGTGAGCACCCTTGAGAAATTTGATCAAAGAGAATGGATTGCAATTAGCAGTTTCTATCTCCCTAGAGCATTAGCCATGCTGATCTCCCAATCTCATTAAAATTAGTTTCTTAGGGCTAATTTCTATGGTACAGTCCACATTATGCATACATATGTTGAAGTTTAAAGGTCAGGCAATGTTAAATAAGGATTTGACTGTAAGACTGACGTGCACATGAAAGGCCCAGTAGATAGCTTCCCCTTTTTCATTTGAAGCATAAAGGACAAAGAACATTGACAAATAGTGAATGAGAGAAATAGAGTCATACCCTTGACTTTCCAGTGAACTTGCCTTGCAGAATTCGAACCAATCCAACCCCACCAACATCGCTACAAAATTTTTTTAGATCTTCAGAAGTTGACTAAAAAAAAATTAAAACCATCAGAATTAGCTCTCTGTATTTGCCTGTCTCACGTCAAAAAAGAATGAAAAGCAATCTCTCTCTGAAGTGTGAGAGAATCTCTACTTGCCTTGAAGTTAAGGTTTGATAAAAATGCAATACACTCGTTAGTGTATACTTTAGCTCTTCTAGTGGTGGAGTCTTTGATGTGCTGGTCATTTGGATGCTCTTCAAACTTGGGTTTTGCTTCTTCTACTTTGTTTTCTTCAGCTAAGTTCTGTGCTCGTCCCTTTTCTTTCCCATGCACTTTGTTTTGTGTTTTCAGCAGTATTTTTCTGCCGCTTAGCTGGAGACTGTTTGTCAGTCATGTTTGAATCTGTTTTACGCTTTCCATTAACACTTTAACAATGTTTCGTAACAACTTGAATTAAAAGCTTAAATTGATAGTTAAGCATTCAACAACCATACGTAAAATTTAACACAATCTCGTGCACTGAACAGCCACAATCACAACTATAAATATAACATAAATACATATACAAGTTTTTAATCTAAATAAGAGCCTATTTGTTATAAATTTTAATTAGTGTTTTATTTTCGAAAACAAGGAATATAAGGAATTTTATGAAAATACGTTTTTATAAAAATAAGTTGAAATGTTTTCAAAACAATGTTTTTGCATATAATCCTAAAAATTAGTATAAAATTAGAAAACAAGAAAAATATCATTTCTCAGTCTTTATATAGTTTTTAACTTCAAAAACAATTTTTAATACCAGATATATTTTCAAATATTTAAAATATTGAGATAAATCTTTTAAAATTTTTAATTGTAACCTAGTTTTTTAAAATTATTTTTGAATCACAAACCAAACTGGCCCAAATCTCATAAAGAGATTTAAAATACAAAATATATTTTCATATATTTAAAATTTAGAAATAAAACTTCAAAATTTTTAATTGTAACTTAGTTTTTCAAAATTATTTTTGAATTACAAACCAAACTGGCCCAAATCTTATATAGAGAGATTTAAAGATGAAATCAGGAGAAAACAAATCCTGATAATCTTTTTATTTCAATCTCTTAAACTAGATAAGACTTAGATAACTCTTAAATTGATCATATTCTAATCTAGAAATCTTATACTCCCATTGAAGCTGGTGAATAGATATTTATCATTCCCAGCTTGGAAACTAGATTAACAAACTATTGTCTAGGCAATCATTTTGTAAGAATATATGATGTCTGCTGACTTGTAAGCAAGTACATAAAACACAACAGCTTATCTTCTATCTTCTCTTTGATGAAATGTCTATCTATTTCAACGTGCTTGGTCCTGTCATGATGCATTGGATTGTGTACTATCCCAATCGCAACCTCGTTGTCACAATACAACCTCATAGGCTCCGCACTTTTGATTTCAAGCTCTCCCGAGATTCTTCTTAGCCATATTAGTTCACAAATCCATGAGCCATAGCATGAAACTCAGCCTCAGCACTACTTCTAGCTACCACGTTCTGCTTCTTACTTCTCCAGGTTACTAAATTTCCCAAAACAAAAGTGCAATAACCTAAAGTCAATCTTCTACCATCCACAGAACCAGCACAATCCGAATTCGTGAATGCTTCTACTTTCCTTTCATTCTTTTTACCAAGAAATAGCCCTTTCCCAAGGGTCATTTTAAGGTACCTTAGAATCTTACTCACAGCCCCAAAATGCTTCTCTTGTGGGTTATGCATATGCTGACTCACTACGCTCACCGGAAAGGCTAAGTCAGGTCTAGTATGAGATAGGTATATCAACTTCCCAACCAGCCTTTGATACCTACCTTTATCAACCAGAGCAACACAACTCATTTCCTCAAATTTCAAATTTGGTTCAATGGGAGTCTCAACTGGCTTGCAACCTAGCATACCTATCTCCTTCAGTAAATCTAGAACATATTTTCTTTGTGAAACTGAAATTCCCTTTTTACTCCTAGCAATCTCCATACTAAGAAAATACCTCAACTACCCCAAGTCTTTCAATTCAAAATCCCAAGCAAGAACTTCTTAACAACCTCTATTTCTTCAAAACTATCTCTAGTAATAATAATATTGTCTACATAAACAATTAGAATAGTAATCTTACCTACAGAAGTTTTAAGGAATAATGTATGATCAGTCTACCCCCGAGTAAAACCATACCTCTTAACAGCCTTTGTGAATTTTTCAAACCAGGCCTGTGGAGACTATTTTAGGCCATATAATGATTTTTTCAATTTGCACACTTTTTTGTCTTTTCCATTCCCTTCAAACCCTGGTGGCATTTCCATGTATACCTCTTTTGCAAGTTCACCATTCAAAAACGCGTTTTTTCACATCTAGTTGTTGTAAAAGCCAGTCTAGATTTATTGCAAGAGACGAGCACCGTGATAGTATTCAACTTAGCCATTGGAGTAAAGGTCACCTCATAGTCTACTCCATGCGTTTGCATAAATCCTCTTGCCACCAGCCTTGCCTTATACCTTTCAACTGTTCCATCTGCCTTATACTTAATAGTAAACACCCACTTGCAGCTCACAATTGTTTTCCATTTAGGTAAACTCACCAGCTCCTAAGTCTTATTTTTTCTCAAGAGCCTTCATCTCCTCTATCACAGTCTTCCTCCACTTTTCATCCCCTAATGCCTTATGTATCGGTGCTGCAACCTTCATAGCTGAGAGATTAGTGGTGAATGCCAAAAAATCATCTACCAACTTATCGTATGCCATATACGTAGCAATAGGATGCAATGTACAAGATCTAACACCCTTCCTTAGTGCAATAGGTAAATATAAATCATCATGCCCTAATTTAGACTCATCAGAAGATAGTTCTTCCTTACCTTGTGACTGTGAACCACTGGTTTCTTCTAGTTGGATGATTGCTCATGCAGATAATTAGGTTTCCTTCCACTTTAATAGTCAGTTCTTCGAGAATAACATTGAAGATCGGGCTGATTTAATCTCTCTAGACCTCCCCTTGGTTCCAATCTTTCCTAAGAGTTTGGTTTGCAAAGAGTGGGCTATATAGTTAGAGTAGGACCTAAATTGGTAGGCTGACTGACTCATCCTTATGGGACTAGGCTGACCTATAAGAACCTAACCTAAATTAGGCTGACTAGGAGACTCACTTATTCTTATAGGACTAGGCTAACCTATAGGAAATTAGGTGACTTTGAACTTTGACCTGGACTAGGAGACTACTGAGATTGACTCAAGTGTGGTTGTAAGGGTAACACCACTTCCCACGAATGACCTTCACAATCTCTCAAATTCTCCCCTGAAGGGAAGTGGGAAAGAATGGATGTGACTCAAAAAATGTAAAATCACTAGAGAAATATAATTTTCTCTTTATAGGACAATAGCACTAATAGTCTTTCTGTGTGGGAGAATATCCAAGCAAGATACATTTAATGGCCCTAGAGTCTAGCTTTCCTTTATTAGGAGACATAACATGTACAAAAGCAGTACATCCAAACACTTTTAAGGGTAAAGTATTTAGGATCCTACAACTAGGAAAGATCTTTAGCAAAGTCTCAAGAGGTGTATGAAAATCAAGAATTCTAGTAGGTGATCTATTTATCAAATATGCAGCTGTTAAAATCGTACGACTCCAAAAAATACTTAGGTACATTCATGGTAAACATTAAGACTCAAGCTACCTCTAACAGGTGCCTATTCTTTCTTTCAGCTATCCCATTTTGTTGAGGGGTATTAACACAAGAGCTTTGATGTACAATCCTGTGATGCAACAGGTAGTTTTCTAGGATAGAGTGAAAATATTCCTTACCATTATCAGTCTGTAAAACCTGGATTTTTTCTCGAAACCGAGTTTCAAACGTTGAATGAAAGTTTTTGAACAATTGACCTGCTTCAAACTTGTTTTTCATCAAGTATACCCAACATACTCTAGTGTGATCATCAATAAATGTAATGAACCCCTTTTGAACTCTTGGAAGGCCTGTGATAAAATCCATTGATATACTTTCCCATTTTCATTCAGGAATGTTGAGTGGCTAAAGCAAACCTGATTGTCTTTGGGTTTCTGCTTTCACCTGTTGACAAACCGAACACTTAGTCACATAATCTCCAATGTCTCTCTTTATACCTGGTCACCAATAGCTTTTCTTTAAATCTTGATACATCTTGGTTCCTCTAGGATGAACAGTAAATGGTGTATAATGAGCCTCTACAAGAATCTTTCTCTTCAACTCAACATCTTGGGGAATGCATATACGATTCTAGAAACAGAGGACACTATCTAATAGGTGAAATTCTAATTTCTTGCCCTCAATCACTTGCTAACTTACTTTTTGATCTCTTCATCAACAACTTGTTTTTCTTTAATCTCTTCTAGAAAAGTAGGCTGAATGTCTAACCTGGCAAGCCTTCCCAGTATCACCTCTATTTGGTCCTTTATCAACTCTCCCAATAACTCTTTATGTCTTGTGAGTTGAGACAAGTAGGCCTTTCTACTCAAGGCATCAGCTACTACATTGGCTTTTCTAGGTTGATACTTAATTTCACAATCATAATCCTTTACCATCTCTAACCTTCTCTTCTGCCTCATATTCAACTCTCTTCGGGTGAAGAAGTACTTCAAACTCTTGCGATCCGTATAAATGTTACTCTTTGCTCTATACAAATAATGCCTCCATATTTTTAGTGCAAAAACTACAGCAGCCAACTCTAGATCATACGTAGGGTATCTCATCTCATACTCTTTTAACTGTCGAGAAGTATAGGCTATTACTGTACCCAACTACATCAATACTGCACCAAGTCCCTGAAATGAGGCATTTGTATAAATGTCATAATCTACACCCTCATGTGGTAACACAAGAATATGAGCTGTGGTCAATCTTCTCTTTAACTATTGAAAACTTTCTTCATAGGCATTCGACCATATGAAAGGTGTTCTCTGTTTGGTGAGAGTTGTAAGCAGCTTAGCCAACTGAGCAAACCTTGCTACAAACCGCTTATAGTAGCCTGCTAGCCCTAAGAAACTTCTAACTTCCTTTACTATCTTCGGTTGGATCCACTGATATACCTTCCTTTAAGACGGTATAGCCCGGGAAGATAACTTGATCTAGCCAAAACTCACACTTAGAAAATTTGCCAAACAGCTTCTTTTCTCGCAATCGCTAAGCACAAATCTTAGGTGTTCTTCATGCTCCTCTTTTGTCTTAGAATAAACCAGGATATCATCAATAAACACCACTATGAATCGATCAAGACAATCCTAAAACACCTAGTTCATTAAGTCCATAAAGACTGTTGGGCCATTGGTTAACCTCAAAGGCATCACTACAAACTCATAATGACCATATCTGGTTCGAAAAGCAGTCTTGGCAATATCTTGCTCTGCAACCCTTACTTGGTGATAACCCAACCTCAAATCAATCTTTGAAAACACAGCTGTTCCTTTCAGCTGATCAAACAAATCATCTATGCGAGGTAACGGGTATTTATTCTTCACTGTCACTTTATTTAACTCTCTGTAATCTATACACATCCGTAGAGATCCATCTTTCTTCTTCACAAATAAAATTAGAGCACCCCAAGGAGAATAGCTTGGTCGAATAAAACCCTTGTCTAAGAGTTCCTAAAGCTGTTTTTTCAATTCCTGAAGTTCAGCTGAGGTCATCCGGTAACGGCTTTAGAAATTGGTGTTGTCCTTGGTGCCAGTTCAATACTGAATTCTACTTCTCTTTCCAGAGGTAAACCCGACAAATCTTTTAGAAATACAACAAAAAACTCCTGGACTACTAGCACATTTTGAATCTCTGGCTGTGGGACATCATTACTGTGCACTACATGAGCAATATACCTCGAGCACCCTTTTCTTAGCATCTTTCTGGCCTTTACACTGCTAATTAACATGCTAAGCTAGTGACCCTTGCCAAAATTAAACTTATCACCATCATCAAGATTAAATCTTACTTTCTTCTTCCGACAATCAATCTCTACTCCAAATCTCCCCAGGAAATCCATGCCCAAAATAACATCAAAATCGGGCATGTCAAACGCTATCAAATCCATTAGTAACTCTCTTCCATGGATCACCACGGACTCCTCTGGAAGCATCTCTTGAGTTACCACACTAACACCATCTAGTAACTCTATCTTAATGGGACAATCCACTATAATAGGTTTCAAACCTAATCTCTCTAAAATCCCATGTGTAATAAATGAATGTGTGGCTCCAAAATCAATTAATGTATAAAGGGGAACTGAGTGAAATAATAACTGACCAGTAACTGCGGATGGGTATAACGCCCGCTTGAGGAACGTAACTCATATTTGCTCATTTTGTCGCCGCGGTGACGTAGGCCCTGGAATTCTTCACCGAGGTGAAGAATTCATCTTCGCCGCGGAGAAGATCCAATTGAAAATCCTTATGAGTTTCTAGAGAATTCTTCCTTTGGGGCACAATGACCATTCTACCCTTAATTAGCAGGAAAAGTGGGGAGTGAAATGCAAGGAAATTGCATGGAGAATAGTTTAAATGGGGTGCAATTGCAAAGAATTAAAGGGCAAAGTTGGAATTCCTAAGAAAGAGTAAGGGTAAAATGGGAAAGTGTGGAGAAAATATGAGATATTAAGGGTTTAGCTTTAGAAACCCTTTCATTCTTTCTTTTCCACCGCCTCTTCCATCCTTCAATTCTCTCAAGCTTTCATTCAATTTTTTTCCAAGGATTTTTTGAGGGCTTTTGACTAGAAGTTGATACAAGTTGATCCTAAACACTTAAAGGTAAGAATCCTTACTCTAGATGTGAATTTTTATTGGTGTAAGAGTAGGATCCTTACTAAGTTTGTGTTTAAGGTTTAAGAGAAAGCATCAAGCCATCAATAGTAGAGAGTTTAAGTGGATTCTACTTGAGTCTAAGGTAAGTAAATCCACCTAAGTTGTGATTTGCATGGTTGAATGATGTATAGAGATTTGTATATGATTAATGCTTGAATTTT